ACCAACTGGAATGTTTTCAGAAAGAGCTTCATTGTCCATATACTTATTGAATACTGGCAAATCTATAAGATGTGTATTAACTTTGATTAAGTAACCAAATATATTTTATTAAACAAAAGCCAAATGGCATATGTAAAAAATAAACTGATATTCAGAAATTATAATCATTTTTTAGTAATTTTCAAAAATAAAAATAAAAATACTTGTGGTTATTAGGTATATCGTGTTCATGTCATATTTATATTTAAATAAAGTAATGATTAATGAAAAAAAGATTTTCAATTCAATTATTAAGAAAATGAGAATATAAAAATGTATTTACATATTGTTATTATTTATTAGTTTAATTTTATTATCTAAGTAATGACCTAAAATATTTTAAGATTGTACTGTAMAATGGAATCAATAAGAAATAAAGTAAAATAAAAACCAGAGTTACAACCAATTTAGTTTATAGATTATTAACTCAATTTAAATAAATAAGGTACACGCGTTTCAAATAATTCTTAATAATTCTTTTAAAAGTAAATTTAATAATGTATTTTAAATGCAAGTGGATGTACATTTATGTATAGTTTTTCATGGTTTGCCAAATTAAAGGTTAAAATAATTAAATAATAGGTATGTATATCTATCCTAAAACTAATATAAATGTTTAGGTAGGTTAATCAACATTTAAAAATATTACCATCAGCATATGAAGAAGATATAAGTAAAAAAGTCCATAAAATGTGTTTCATTTTAAATAAAAAAAATACCGCAGAGTAAGTAAGTTGATATTTATTAAACTACATCAAATACGATTAGGTTTTGAACAAAAAACATCATCTGCGTTTATACATTTTAAAACAAAACGATTAAGCAAATACTTTAGGGAAATGAGAACGAAGCCCAATATATATCCTCGCAAAACGGAAACAATAGATTAAATGAAAATAAATACTGTGACTAGACGTCTGTACTACATCAGTGTCCAGTACAGCTCACTACGGCTGAACATCGATATAAAACGAAAAATGAAGATGTAMACTCGAGAACATCATACAAATAGTAACGAAAAGCGATGATGTTGATGATGGACAACAAACAATAATAGTAATAATAATAATAATAGGTGAAAGAACAGGTTGAATTACACTTTGCTGCACTACGCCACTACGGGTGCATACAGTTACAGTGCACACTATCGAGAATCGACATATCGCAAGACAGCGTCTTATTGGTAACAAGATAGCGGCGTACAGGTGGTTGAACCACGGCGGGCTGACGAAGATCGTTCATCATAAATAATTAATAACAGAACCACAGAAGACGACGGCCTGTAGAAATTCAAATAAATTTCGTAGTTTGTAAATAGAATCCGATGGTCTATTTATAATTACCACGGTTCTTTTAAAAATACCGTGTGTAAGGCGCAAGTCCAAAGTACAGACTAACTACTAAGTCCAAAGCTGGCACAGTACGGTCCGACCGCAAAAATCGTTCCGACCGGTTGGACACACTGTGTTTTTGAGTTCACTCTTTTCGCTTATCTACGATTTGATTTCAATATTAATTTTAATTGCTTATTTGCTTCCTGCCACGCACGGCTATAGATAAAAAAATGTTGGACGACCAAAAAAACTTGAAAATTTA